GGGGGGGGGGGGGGGGGGGGAAACACCAATTTAACCCCCCCCCCCCCCCCCCCCCAATTCCCGCATCATTAGCTATTGACTAAATAAAAAAATTAGTTTTGACCTAGGGTGTTTTATTTCTAAAAAGAGACGTGGTGTGGGTGGGGTGCATTTTCTTGTTAAAATTGTTAAATTATTTCTAAAAATGAACATATGCATACATTACTCAAGTCATTCATATTTACAATTTATCTTCCTCCGACATTTTATTCCCGTTCTTCTTTATTTATTTTTTTTATTTTTTAATTAATTTTTTTTAAAACAAATCATTTCACACACAGCTAAAACGAAAACAATTGTTTAACAGTCATCCATTTAAAAAAAAAATTCAAAAGAATTCACATTGTAGTAGATGTTATATATTAAATTAATAAAACAGTTTCAAAAGGAATTAATATAAACACAAATGCCCTTCAGTTTCTTTGAACAATAACTGTTTTAAGCGCGTCATCGATTTCGCTTAACAAAATAAAAACCATCTAGACCAGCGGTTTTCAACATGTGGGTAGCGTCATTGGGAAGGTTGAGAACCACTGATCTAAAAGGCTAATAGCGACCTTGATTTTGGTATTTGACGTGGAGCAATTAAAACCGATTAAATCTAGGCAATTCACAATCAAAAGTTCAATGATAATAAAACATTATATCAGACCTTCTTCCGAAATGTTTGAATACTTAACTTTATTTCAACCTATTATTATGATTATTATTTATATTATAATTTTTTTTTTTTGGTTGGGGCGTGTTATGAAATACAAAATATTAAAAACCTACAGGACTTAGCATTAACACCTGATTTTAAAGAGAAGGACTCTCGTGTGAATTTAATTGGTATCCCCTACTCTTCTTCTCATCTCGTGGTCGCATCACTCTCAATCACTTTTCAATCGACCTTGACCCCCATCAGGTCACGCGTCTCTGTTTTCAGGGAAAACCCGGACCAAGGACAAGTACAGGGTCGTGTACTCGGACCACCAGAGGCTGGAGCTGGAGAAAGAGTTCCACTTCAGCAAGTACATCACCATACGACGCAAGACGGAGATAGCTGGTCAGTTGGGGCTGTCAGAGAGACAGGTAAGTTACAACTGGTCAGTAGGTGCGTCTGGGTAGGTCAGTGAATAGTTGGTCTTTTGGCGCTTCTCGGTTGGTTAGTGGATAACGGGTAAGTGGATGCTTTTCGGTTACCGGATGGTGGATAGCTGGTCAGCTAGGGCAGCAGAGAGATAAAAGAGGAGACGTCATGTTGACACGAGAACTGATGTTTTTTCCACATTTATCATAAAACACCTTAGAAAGTCATTGTCAGAAAGATTGTCAGAGCTTTAGCTCTTGTCAATGCATTTGCTCTTGTCAGAGCCTTAGCTCTTGTGAGGGCGCCAGCTCTATTTGGAGCGTTATCAAATTTTGCCATCGCTGCATTCCGATAAAAGAATCAGACAAAAAGCTGCTTTGAGAAAAATGAATGAAATTAATAGGAACTGCTAGGGATCATATTATCTTTGTCCATAACTGTTGATGGATTGTCATGTTTGCTACTTTTGGTCAATGTTTCGTAATAATGAAGAGGCCCTCAACTGTTCAGTGTTTTTAATACTGCGTTTTGGGTTCACTATAATAAAGTGTTAACCCGTTCTCCGGGTTTACTCTTTAAAGCGCTCTGTATAGTCAGTGAAGTGAACCTAAGACAACCAGGTCAGTCATTGCTTCATGAGACCGTGTGCTGTAAAAAAATAATCTCCGTCGAGATAACACGTTGAAGCTGGAAGTCTTAAACAGTAAATACTCAGCCGAGGTATTGTAGTTAAACCGATGCCTCGACTCTTGCACTGGATTGCTTAGCATCAGAAGAATACGGGAAGAAGATGAATAATCACATAATCTCCTAATCTCTTGGTAAAGCACTGGCTAAATCAATGATTTGTGCTTAACACATTTTTTTTATGCTACACCGAAGCGTATATTTTACAATGTTATATCATTATGCGATGGCAATGACTGTCAGTTGTCTGTGATTTTTCTCCCTCTAAATTAAAATCTAGAACAAAAAGCAAACACGTTATTTCCAAAAGAAATAGACGATTTGAAATAGAAGAACTAAATTTGATCAATTGAAATAGATTAATTGAATTGGATGAATTGACATAGATGAACTATAAATGAATTAAATTAGATGAATTAAATTATATGAATTAATTTTAAATTAGATAAATTAAAAAAGATGAACTCAAATAGATGAATTGATATAGATGAAGTGATATAGATGAATTGATATAGATGAATTGATATAGATGAAGTGATGTAGAGGAATTCATATAGCCACCGAACACACTTAGACTTGAAAGGCCCATGTTCGTCAAAGCGACGCGTCTCTTGAGAGTTCATACACATTTACTTAAACCAAATCTCTTGTCCAATTCTCCAGGTGAAAATTTGGTTCCAAAACAGACGGGCCAAGGAGAGGAAACAGAACAAGAAGCGACAGGAAGTGCCGTCCGAACTTCAGCATCCCACCGGTGGGTCGGGGTCCAACCACAGCAGCAACCACCAGGAGCAGCCCCACCAGCACCAGATGCTCCAGGGACCCACGCACGACGCCCACCCCCACCTCTTCCTGAAGACGGAGAAGGAAGACGAGTTCCCCATCAAGCACGAGCTCACGGGTCACAGTGCGACCTTGACCCCTCTCATTCCTCATCAAGGTCAAGGCGGCGTCATCCACCAGAGTCATCACACCATGGGGATGATCGGCGCCCCGGCGATCCTCGGCCGTGGCCACGCCCACCCGTCGATGGCCCGGTACCACGAGGGTGTGGTGCAGCGGCCCACCATGACGCCCCCGTCCCCAGGCGGCGACCTCAGCTACAGACTCGCCGGCAACAACGGCACCGATTCGGCCGGCAACAGCATGAACCTCTCCGGCTCCTCCGACAGCGGCGTACTCTCTTCCCACTGACCACTCCGCCGCTGATTAAGAAGAAATAGGGACTCACTTTCTTGATCAGATGGACTCCCTAATGACCAGTGTGAGTGACCTTATCCGTACTGGCTTGGAGTCTTCTGTTTTAATGATGGCATTCATTATAATGCGTCACACAAAGATGAGCTTCATAAATGTGTACTATTCAGTTGAGGTAGCGTTATAAGGAGACAATATTCCCTTTAATTGTATAGTTTATGTACCTTAACTAGTCCTTCGCCAGGACTCTGTGGACACTGATGAATGAACTGCATACACACTGGATGTCTCTGAAAGAGTCAATATAATTTAATTGCATCCTGTATAATCCAAAATATTCTTGCGCCTTGAAATCAGCAAGTTGCAGCTTGACACACTCATGACTCTGCACGTCATTTTCACAATGAAAGCTTAAACTGTGTAATTGAAATTAAACCTTTTATTTTAAACAACATCATCTTGGTGACTGATTTATTATGTTTTTTTTTGGAAGACGCGGGCAACGGCAATGTCTAGTGCAATCTTCCTTGAATTAATTTGGTCAGCTGCCATGTTCGCTTAGTTTCCGGAGCCTGACTTGTTTCTTGCTAATGGCATTTTAGAAAAGCGCCGTTAACCAATGTAACATGCACTTTTAATGGGAAATAATTAAATTATCCCCTACCCGAGATGAAGATTTATTTTGCTTTTTAAAAAAATGCAATAGCGCATTGTTTCCCTAATTTTTATTTTTTTAAAGTTTTTATTTGAATGTCGTCCGAATGCCTTCTGAATGTTAAAAAAAAAAAATTCTAAAAAGAAAGTGTTGTCTACAAATTGTCTCAAGCTAAAAGAGTGAACAATCAATACATATTATTCTATACGTATTAAAAAGATAATGGTCCAATGATGAGTTTCGTCGCACGGAAAATTAACTTCCAGACAAAACTGATTTCGATAGCTTCTTAAAATTAATGTTTTCAGTTTACTCTAGATGTACAGATTTGGGAACTAAGTTGATAAAAATATATTAGAAAATGAATAGTCCTAAGATGTGTATATTAAATTCGTATACATTCTTTCTCTTACAAAAAAAATGTGCTACTATTTCATTATTGACCAGCATTATTTATTTAAAATATGTTTTTAATTAAACATCTTGATTAGCGGCAGAGAGACGTGAGCCGTTGTTTTGATTCAACGAAACATGTTCCACCGTATGATGAGAATTCATAATTTCTGCACTCAATACATTCCAAATAGTGGTATTTATTCTCGTAGTGCCCTCCTGAATCTCTTCTAATGGAACGATGAAATTATTTTTGGCAATTTTCAAAGGTTAATCTACTTTGTATATACGACGAGGTGATGAGATTCCTATCTTCGTCGTTACTGGCTTAGATTTGGCCCCCACGGATCCATGTTTCGGTTTGGACAAGTTTGGCTGTCCCGAGGTGAAGGTTGATGTTTGCCAGACAATTGTTTAAAACCGTATACATGTTTACCAGACAATTGTTTAAAACCGTAAACATGTTTGCCAGACAATTGTTTAAACCGTACACATGTTTGCCAGACAATTGTTTAAACCGTACACATGTTTGCCAGACAATTGTTTAAACCGTATACATGTTTGCCAGACAATTGTTTAAACCGTACACATGTTTGCCAGACAATTGTTTAAACCATATACATGTTTTCCAGACAATTTTTTAAGCCGTTTACCTATCTTTATGAAGAATGCTTCCATGCTGCTTGCCTTCTTTAAATCTGAACACAGCTGCAAGATTCGATTTTTGCCGCTAAAACATAATTGTATTTTATAATACTGAAACAAGTTTGTTTAATTTTTCATTCTTTTTAAACTTGGAAAATCGAATTTCGAATTTAAATAATAATAAATTTGAGCATTATATAACTGCAAATGGTGTACGTTTTTTTTTAATGTACAAAGTTTTTGTATACTTTTAGGGATGTTAATGTTTGGGGAACAATGATCTGATGTGACGCTTCTTGTGTGTGTGTGTGTGTGTTTGTTTGTGGAAAACGTGTGTTGTCATTGGGGAGTATATCAGTGAAATTACCTGATGCAAGATCATATGTTTTCGAAACGTGCAATTTATTGCTCATTTTTCAATCTGTATTGATCTATTTTTAAACATTCCATCTATGCTTGTTACAATTTTGTTTATGTCTCTCTTTAAAAAAAAAAAAAAAAGTATATTTTTTTTTTTTTAGTTTTTTTTTTTTTAAATATATTTTTACAAAGTTTGATGCTATATTGTATGTAGCAAAATGTACGTGATACATTCCATCTGATGTTTAATTACTTACACACACAGAGTTGACGTGTATATTTTTAAAACATTGGCGGATGAGAAGGGGGTCCTCCGTCGCAGGCGGAATTGTTTTCTTTATGTGAAGGGGAGGCATCATCGGCGTACTGCTGAGTTGTTGTTGTTGTTGTTTTTTTCGTGGAATGGGGCAGCAAAATTGTTGGCTCGCCTTCAAGTGGCCCTAACCCTAGCTACAGCACTGACGGCTGTTAAGCGTTGAAAAAAAAAATCTGACAAGTTTGAAAAGTTCATTTGCGATTCGCCTATCACTAACACCAGCTCCAATTGGCTTTATATAAGGCTTTATTCGTCCCTTAATTAATGTCTATGAAGCCTCTGCTCTCACACAAGCCCGTGTCAACAAGTAAATAGGGGGCTGTGTCTAATGATTGGTTATATTAATGGTTTTAATGAAATTGTGAAATATTATATTTACATTGTGTTATAAATTACCTCATATAAAAATAAGCTGGACACTTGTATGTACATCTCTTTCAAATTAAAGCCTGCTTTCCATTGTCACATTGTTCATTACATGTTTCGATATCAGTGACCTGACAGCTAACCTTTGCCTAAAAAACAAATAGAGCAAATCGGTTCCAAGGGAAATATCAATAAAATAAATACATGACTATATCATTTAAAATGACTAAATGCATGCCTATATCATTTAAAGTGACTAAATACATGACTATATCATTTAAAATGACTAAATACACGACTTTATCATTTAAAATGACTAAATATGTGACTTTATCATTTAAAATGACTAAATACATGACTTTATCATTTAAAATGACTAAATACTTGACCTTATCATTTAAATTTAAAAGAAAAGTCAAAAAATCCATGTCCATTTTGATATCAATAAAATTACAACTGTAAACTATACACGGTAAGGAATATATTCATCCAGGCATACAAGTCAAATCTTTTTAAATCAATGAAATTACAAACTTGACTTAATCAATAATAAGATTGCTGGAGGACGTTGTACATATGGCATTAATCTAATAGACAGAACTTAGGCCGATACGAAACATTAAAATATCACAAAATGTGAATATATAGGCCAACATGTATACAAGGGAGCAGGGCCGGCCTTAGGCCACTGCAACCTATGCGGCAATCCGTTTCATATAAGGCCCCGCAATTGTTAGGGCCGGCCCTGCAAGGGAGACTATTTTTTTTAATCTCTCACAAAATGTGAATATATGGGCTAACATGTATAGAAGGGAGACTAGTTCTCATCTCTTACAAACTGTGAATATATGGGCTAACATGTATACAAGGGAGACTCGTTCTCATCTCTTACAAAATGTGAATATATGGGCTAACATGTATACAAGGGAGACTATTTTTTTTAACCTCTCACAAAATGTGAATATATGGGCTAACATGAATACAAGGGAGACTAATTCTCATCCCTTACAAACAGCGTCACACAATTATATTTAAAAAAAAAAAAAAATTAATATCAGCATCGTGGCGTTTAAAAAAATATATATTCATTATAAATTCTATAAATGTACAAATCTAATAGTGTAAGAAATCCAAGCAATCAAATTATCAGAGCCACAATTTACACAACAAATGTGAATCAACTTTTTAATGCTGTTGACTCATTTCTGAAATTGTTTGGTGAGTGTTGAGCTCACCTGTCTGGTAAACCTCACCTGACAGGTAACAGGGGGTCAATGTCCGATTTCGCATTTATAAAATGTCAAAGCTATGTCACAAATCGTTACAATAAATTGTGATAAGGTATCGATTTAATAATCACATAACCATACGACAATCCCTTTTAAATTGTTTAAATAATACACAACTAGGAAGAGTCCCTTTTGTTTGTGCGTGTGTGTTTAAAAATGATATAAAAATTAAATAGACCAGAGAAAATAAAAATAAAAAAAATATTAAAATAATAGATATCTATATGAAACATGACAAAAAATACCCAAACAAACAGACAGCATGAGGCAGGGACATTTTCAAATTTAAAATAAAACGGAGAAAGAAAAAAAAAACCTTCCGGCTGTCGTCCGGATAAGGTTACATGAGATGTCCCAGACAATATCACGAGGCGTAAGACTTCCCCGATCGGGTCGTACCCCGTCGTATCATAGATCAAGATGGCGGCCGCAGCACCTAATGAAGATGTCATGTGTTGACCATCGACCTCCGCGCTGTTTACCCCCGCCGTCCACTGTTTGCACGCGGCCGGCACATGACGGCCCTCGACCAGGACCGACTCCCTTGTTTTATGGCTTTACGACCCACTCGACCCCTGCAGGAAACCCCGCTGAACACAACTTCGATCTGGTTCGAAATCTTATCCAAGTTTTATGACCACCAACGGCCGGGCCTCCATCGCCTGATAAACAAACAAAAAAAAAAAAAAAATTCCCTTTTGTTTTATGGTCCCCGAATTCGGGAATCGTGCGTGGAAGTGTGTGTGTGTGTGTGTGAGGAAGTGTGTGTGGATGTGTGTGTGGTTTACTTCAGTAATTTTTATGAGGACCCCTCTCCACTCACGTTCGTTTCTGTGTTTGATAACAACTGTTGGTAAAATACCCCCCCCCCCGGTGTCTCTCTAGTAAAGTTGCTACTCTCAAAAGCACCCAGATAGCGTGTGAACATCCAGAATACAATGGAATCGAAGTCATACCCTGTGTTCCAGAAGGATTGTTACAGAAGGGGGTTGACACATAGTTTGAGTGAGCCGTAACGAAGACCACTTTTTTTTTTAAAATGATATCACCCAAAAGTCAACATATTGGACTTGGGACTTTAAAAAAGTAGAAATTGTAAATAGTATAACGCTCATAACAAATAACATATAAATTGCCTTGCAAAAAAAAAAAAAAATTCTGCTAAATATGTTTCATTTCTACGCTTGAATTTAAGGTGAAAAATCACTCGCAGTCAACGCTTCATCATCTAACACAAACCCAACTCTTCATGTGACTGGTTTCAGCGAATCTAACACAAACCCATCAAAAGTCAACATATTGGACTTGGGACTTTAAAAAAGTAGAAATGGTAAATAGTATAACGCTCATAACAAATAACATATAAATTGCCTTGCAAAAAAAAAAAAAAATTCTGC